TAAAAATAGAACAAGTCCTTTACAAGCTTCTCTGTCATACAAAAAGATAAATACGGTACTGCCATATTGCACCAAGAGTGAACCACCAAATGAAAAATGACAGTAACAAAATTCAAATTCAACTACGTTATCTTCCCCTATCATTTGCAAATAAAATAACTTTTAGAAACTGGCCCAACTCCCACTAGATAAAATATAACACACAGCCTGAGATCTCAACATCTAATAAAAATTTTCCCTTCAGTATTACCTACTTTCCTTTATTTCAAACGCTGAATGAGGCACTTGGTTAAAATACAGGATGTTTCAAAAGTCTTACTGCAGTTTTAAGCTAGTAAAGGTTTAGGAGAGAATGGTTATTCTAAGTCAGAACTTGAACTTTCCTGCCTCCAGCTTTTGCAGAGAGAAAATTCTGAGGTACTTTCTCACTTTCAAAACGAGTGGGCTGAACTATGTACCCCTCTAAGCAGGGTCTCTTAACTTGCTATCCATGAAACTTTTATTTTAAAAAAAATGATAATTCTACTTCAATATAACTGGTTTCCTTTGTAGTCCTGTGTGTTTTATTTTATGCATTTAAAAGCCTTATTCTGAAAAGCCATCCATAGGTTTTACCAGACTGCCAAAGGGGTCCATAACACAAACAGCTCAAGAACTTCTGCTCCAAAGTCCTTTTCAGCTTTAAATCTATGACACTAACAAAGGACACAGACTGTAAACTCTTCAAGAGGACCTAGACCTAAGTAGCATTGCCACCACTGAAAGATTATCAACTGTTCCCCTCACCTTACGTACGTGTACAGAGATCATGTAATGAAAACCGAGCTCTGACGCAGCAAGTAATGGACCAGGAATGATCCCTGTAGTTCCTGCAGTAATGTTGTTTCTCTCCACCCAGATAAGGTAAACCGTTAAAGAAAATGACCAAGTGCCTCTCCCTAGTAAATGTTAACTTAGCCTTATAGCCAAGAAAATATGAGCTAGTCTAAAATACATGTTGAGAACTTAAAAGAAATCAGTAGATCTATAGGAAGCTGGGAAAGCCATGACCAATGCACCATAATACTCCTCTCCTTTTTATTTCCATATTCTTTGATTTTCACGGGAAAACCAAACAAAACACAAAGTATGCCAAATAATCCTGTATTTGCTGTCTAAAGCCATCTATATTTTTCCCTAGTACACTATGCTAAATCATGAAGAGATTAAGATGGCTGAAAATGAGAACGTTTGGGTACTGAAAGATACCTGTGAAAAATTTATAGGCCAAATCAACAATTAAATTTATTCACAAGATACATGTCTATCAAATCTCTGTTGCTCCGTCTTGTTACCTCACCAGATTGCTGTGACCTGAAAATCAGATATGTATACTAATCTTTACTTGGTAAACAGCATCTAAAGTAAGTGTCACGTATCCAATGGATAATTAATAAATGATGGCTCATAATAAGAATTCAATAAGACAGGCTATCCATTATATAATACTCTGATCATTTGGAAATTTGTTTCAGTCACAAAAATATCTTCCACTAAAACTTTTCTTTACGGTGTTTTATTTGAAGAGGCCTTATTTATGCAAGATCTCCATGAACAAGTGTTTACAAAAATAAATACTCACTTGTTTCAGCCCAAAATGATTACAAAATGTATGTGGCAAAAGAAATGTTTGTTCCAGGACAGACAGCATGACCCAATTTTTTCTCCTCAAGAGTTCCACAGAACAGTTTCTGCTACACCACATACATTCCTGTCCTTCTCCCTGACACACCCAGCTCATGACCTGCAAATTTTCAGTTGCATAAAAGTATGACAAACTTGTTAATGATATACCTACCAAAATGTTTGTGAAAATTTGGATAGGCCAACCAATTTTTTCTTAAAAGCTTACTTGTCCCAAATTTGCTCAAGACCCCCTTGCATTATATACAATATTACAAAAGTCTCAGTGCTATACATGCATATCTACATGTACACATACATATGCAGATGTAAGTGTATAGATACGTATACGTTTATAATATATACATTATGTATATATATTCATATATGTACATATAACATTCATTGTTTACATTTGTAAATTCTTCCCTATGCTTAGCGTTCTGCATCCTCCTAATTCGATTTAATATATCCTGCACCCAAATTTACCGGATGCTTTTTCACGGAAAGTAACGTAGATTACTTTTTCCTTAAGAGGAGGCTGCTACAAACGTCTTGGGCCAGGATCTTCCTTTCACAACTCAGATCTGGGTGCAACCTCCTGCACCCGTGCCCACCCCCCGACCTCCCCATCCTCTGGCCCTCTGCTCCTGCTCGGCCGGGGCCTCCACTTCAGTCATTTGCGGTCCTCCCCTCCCCTCACCAAGCGCTTCCAAGTTCTGCGGAGTCATAAAACCGTTCCGCTTGTCACTCGGGGGGCACATGCACAGCTCTCATTAACTCTGGAGCTCTCCCTCGCCCCCCCCAGAACACGGAATAGGGGAGAGGGGGTACACGGGTAAATTACCCAGATGCGCGATGCCTCTCCGTGGTGCCCGCTCAGCCCCCGCCCGGGATGCTCCTACCTACTCCAGTCTTCGGAGCTTGGACCACCACTGACCCCGCCCCGTCCCCGCATCCTTCCCGGGTCCGCCCCCGCCTTCGGCCCCGCCCCCGCCAGGAGCAGGGCCCTGCGGACGTCAACGCGCCCTCTCCTCCTCCCCTCCCACCCGGCGGGCACGTGACTCGACACGCGTCAGCTGCACGCGGGTCCCATCAAAACAAAAACAGAGGCCGGCCCGGCGGGCGTCGGCGGCGCGCCCCGGAGGGAGGGATCGCGGAAAGGGGGGAGGGCGGAGCGGGAGCGAGCACAAGCGCGCGCCCGCACGCCCGCCACCGCCGCGAAGGGACGCGGGCCGGGGCCAGGGCCGCGCGCCGGAGGCGGCCGCGGCGGCTCGGCTCCGCTCCGTAGGGCCCAGCTCCCGCGTCAGCCCAGGGGCGGGGAGCCGCGGGCGGCTGACAGCCTGTTTACGGCACAAGCTCCGCCCGTGTCCTTTTCTCCCTGCCGGGAATGGAAGCGGCAGAGTCTGCCCCCGGGGACCGCGCCCGGAAACCGCCGCCGGGGGACAGGGCTCCGGGGCGCGCCTCCACCCCCACGGCGCATCCCGGTCCTGCGTGGGAGCGGCCCGGCCCCGGATGCTGCCCCGGCCAGCCAGGCTCTGTCCCTCATCCCCCGCGCCTGCCCCACGCGCGTCCTTTCCTCATCTCCGGGGTTGTCCGTCGTTTCCTCCCTTACGCAACCGCTTGAAAACGGCTGAGGGCAGGGACCCCCCACCCGTGAATACGTGGTAGGGGCACTACTAGTACCTTTCGCCCCCAGCCCCATCAGCTTTTTAAAGGATGGAGGGCCAGGGGATGGTGGTAGGAAGAATGGGAGTGGGCAGGCAGACCAGGAGGCATGAGTTCCAAGCTGTCACCAGCAATCACATCCCCACCCTGAACACCCACCCACCTCATCTTAGCTCCGATCCCCCGCAGGGTGAGAAGGAGGAGGAGGAAGAGGAGGAGGAGGACATCTTCTCCCGGATACTCTGGAGCCCGGAGGAGAACAAGGTCCGTCCCTTGTCCCTTAAGGCTTCGCAAACTTCCCACACCGTCCTAGCACATAGAAAAGGAATGAAAAAAAGTAGAAAAAAAAAGTTATTTAAAAAAAGGAATCCCCTGGGCCGCCACACACACCTGCTAAGCATCCAAAGCGCTGCCGGCGGCCGGCGTTGCCCACCTTGGCTGGAACCCTTCGGCCCCGGAGCCCTCCAGCAGCTGCTGCGCGCGTGGAGGGCGTGAAAGTGAGCCGGACTCGCAGGGCAAAGTACGAAGGGGCTTCGGCGGAGGGCGCTTCGGCGAGTGAGCCACCCTCGTGTTCTTCAGCGGAAAAGGGGGAAAAAAAAGATGAAGCAAAAATAAGGGAGGCATCTCAGGGATGTGGTGCGAAGGTTTGCGGAGAGGGAGCGAAGGCACCACCCCCGGACACGCGCGCCCCCTCCCTCCGCTTATTTTTGTTGACAGCAAAGGTTAAGGGTGGGGGTTGTAGTGGGAAGAAATGAAATAGTTATCCCTAGGTTTGGGATGTTGTTCTCCGAGGGGTGGAGAGGTGGGTTCTTGAAATGGAAACAGCCTTCTCCTCCCTTCCCTCCCCCCCTCCCCTCCTCCTCCTCCTCCTCCTCCTCCTCCTCTTCTGTTTACCTCAAGTTTGAATTTTATCTGCGCAACATTAGCTGGAATGCGGACATTGAAGAGAAAAAAAAAAGCCACCACTCTCTCAAACCAGCAGCAGCTCCGGAGGAGACATGTGGCATCAAGCCACCTAATTGGGGGGTTGGGGGGAGTATGAAAGTCCTCTTAGCCACCCAAACATGGCAAAATCACCTCGAAATCCCCATTTGATGCAACCAATCCCTCCTTCCCTCTCCCGTCTTCCTAAAATCGGTTCCTGGGGCTGCTGGACCCCTCCGGGGAAAAAGGAGAGGAAAAAAAGAGGGGTGCTGGAGGATGGGAAAAGGAAGAGTGGGAAGGAGAGAACCACAGACCAGAAGAGAAAAAAGTGTTACTGATCTGCCGCCCCCCCAAAAAAAAAAATCAACCCACCCGAGAAACCGAGTCTAAGAACTCCTTTTCCCAACATCATCTCTTCTTTTCCCTTAATTTAAAGGAAGCACAAGGCAAGTCATTAAAGCAAAGGAGAGAAAATTCTCCTAAAGTCCTGTTGGACCAGCTTCGGCTCCTATAAATAACTTACCTTTGGGTAATTGACACGCCGCTAAAAATCCTTCTCTTGTTTTCTTCCATGTGAGCGCAGTGGAAACGGGAAAAAACAGATGCGCATGTATCGCGGCGGCTCGTATTCTTCTAGAATTTCCCCTTTTTGACTATCACGACTTTGGAGACAGGTGCAGTCCTGGAGGAGGCTGGTGGAGGAAAGTTGGTCTCTGCCGGGGTCTTGGGGGCGGGGGGCTTGCAGGATGCGGGCGTGAGGACCCCTGCCCTCCACCCCTTGCCAGTTCCCCCATCCCCCGTCCCCCACGACGGACCCCTCTCCTCCTTATCCCAGAGGCGGCTGCTGCGTGTGGGCTGGTCTGCAGGGGAGGTGGCGTAGTTTCTCTTCCTCCCACCTCTTCTCACTCACTTGTTTTTGTAGCCCTGGGCTCCCCGAATGCTCTCCGCTCCACAATGTTGTTTCATTATATCATGTCCATCATGTGACACCGGAGAGGCCTCTCTATGGAAACTTAAAGGGGACTCCCACGTGACTCTGCAGCAGCAGCAAGCAGCAGCAGCAGCAGCATCAACAACAGCAGCGGCAGGACCGGCGGCGGCAACAGCGCTGGTCTCAGCACCACCCACCAAGCCCCCCTCGCAGCATCCCCGAGGGGCTCCTGGGGCTGCGGAAGGGAAAGCTGGGGCGCAACAACAACCAGGGGCCAATCTTCTTTCTCTCTCTCTTTTTAAGAGTGGCTTATTACACTAAACAGAAGAAAGAGCCGTGCTTCCTTAAATCCTTCCGACATTCACAAAACCCACACGCTGTTAGAAATGACATCTCAGTATTTCCTATTTCATGTTTCCCCAAACGTAATGAGTTCCCCAACAGATATGAGTCATTTTAAAAGGCTGAAAAATAAAAAAAAAAAACCAAAAACAGGATTTTAGCTTTCCCTCTGCAACTCTAATCTGATTTGTGGTGGAGCAGCAGCCACCAAACAGTAAGACTACAGCACTAATAACCAGGCTCCCTTGAACACATCATTACCAACCCCATCACCAGCCCTAAAGCTTTCTAGAATTAGAATCCCCCCGGTAACTGTGTCGATGATGCATGAGGGAGGCAAAAGGCAATGCAGTTTTTCTCTTCCGCAGCTAAATTAGGGTTTGGGTGCTGACAGCAGTAAAAACTTGTTTTGTGTCAGGAAGCAAAGTTCTCAGATATGACCCGGAAGGTACAGATGAAACTAAGGTGTTAACTTTTTTTTTTTCAGTTATTTTTCGGGCCACTTTCTTTCAGACCAGTGAAAGGTGCTCCATTTGTAAAATACTTGGAGTGTCTTTGTGGGATGAAATATTATTTTAATATATTTTATATAAACATCTCATGCTAGATCATATTAAAATTATGTAAAATTACACATATGCCAGATTTTGGAAGCAATATTTCTACTTATAGGGACTTGTGAATGTCCTTTGAAAGAGTGAAGAATGTATTCAGTAATCTCATCATTCTGACACATTCTTTTCCAATATTTAATTAAAGTTAACTTTTTAGTTCTCAAAATGTATTCTAACTTGGTGGGCTTAGGAAACTGGGAGAGGAAGAAGAAGAAAAAAAGATGGAAAGGGAATCTCTTAATCAACGGAGACTTTGCTGTCTACACTGACAGAGGAAGTTCCGTTTCATATGCTTTTTTCTATACTGCTGGATCACAGATTTCTTGTTACCTTTTCTCTCACATACCTCTGCACTGTCAGAAAATTTCCCTGAGTTCCAAACCTTAGGAAGACTGTCATTTTACCTCACAAAAGTTAATGCTATGATGTCTTGTGTATTTTGCAGGAGAGAAGTAATAACTGCTTCCCGTTTGGACGGATGGAATTATGTAAAACTTCGCAGAAATACTGAGGCGAAGAAACTCTTGAGCATACTTTCACCAATTTTCCCCTCAGGCTGCCTCTGTCCTTATCCCATTTAATATCATATGATAAAACTTTTCCATTGCACCACTTCATATTCTAAAATGTTCCCATAGGTTACCTCCCTCCCTAATTAATGCTTTCATTCCATATTTATTATCCCTGTTTTCTTTCTCCTGGCATCAATGTGAGTACTTTCTCTGCTAGCATCTTAACTCTAGCCCCTCAAAGCTCTCCACTCCCCTTTCTCTCTTCCTCCCTTCCTCCCACCAGCGCATCCTTTCCCAGACGTTCTCCTCTCGCCTCTGCCTCCCCCCAGTCCTCCAACCCCCGACTTCCCTGAAGCGTCGTCTTTCTCTTAGTCACCTACCCAATTCCCTCGCCCACTACCATTTTCTATGAAGATACCCCATCTCCTACTGATGTTCCCGCTTAGAATCTCCTCAAACATCGTGACCCCAATTGCCTATGCCCCATCTTATTCACCGCCTTTCCTCTCTCTGGCCCCTCTGCTTCTCACCTCGGAGGCTCTAGCCCCACCTTGTTCCCCCGTAGGTAGGCAGGGAACCAGCGCTCTAGAAGCAGGGGAGTGGGGGATTCCCCTCCTTTCTACGTCTCCTTCTCCTCTCCGCCCCCCGCCCTTCCTGCGTTGCTGCGCTTCCTGGGCCACTGGGTTTGGACTACTGCAGCAGCTGCTGTTCTGCTGTGTCATGGAAGGAGGCAGCGGGCAGTGGCTGGAGCACAAGGGGGAGGAGGGGAGGAACCTGATCTCCGGTACCGAGGGGCTGGAGGCAAACGCCCAGCTCCCACGGAGCCGCCTTATAGCGGGGCAGGTGGCAGCCCTCCTACCCCGGGTGACACCCACCTCGGGGATCATGGTAAGTAGGGCGACCTAGGTGGGAGATGGGCAGGGAGGTAGAATGTGGAAACAGGGGAGAGCGGGTCTTCACCGTCAGCCCAGCTGAGATGGACACAGAGCTCTACAGCTTGAACCCAGAGTCGGACCACGAGAGGGAATGATTCACGGCCTGAGATGCCTCATCATCACTGTTTCATCTTATCCCATCAGCCCTGGCGCTTTAGGTGAATAGGAGGAGGAAACACCGGATTCCTGTAGACTGAGGCTTTAGTTTTGCTACACTTGTTTATAATTTGCCTTACACAGGACTAGGGAAGGGGATGAGATGGGAAATCTGCCCAACCCCACTTTAGCCCCGAAAATAATACTCTTGGCCCAACGCCTGAAAGAAACAGCCTTTGGTGCTATTAAGCAATCGATAAGAAAAGCCTCACAGACCCCCTTTAGAATATGTTTGGGGAAGTGTTGGGTTAAAGGAGAGAGTGAATTCTCCTTCATTATTATATTCCCTAACCCCTAGCAGACTCACAGGTTCATATTTAAACTCCAGAGGGACTTAAAATGCTGCTTGCTAACAAGTTCAGCTCCACTGTCCTATACTGTCAGGGAATTAAGACACCCCACACTGAACAATAATGCATTTAAGAATAGGCTGGAGCCATAGAAGCACATTATGTCCCTCATAAGAGCAGTTAATACAATATTTTTTATAATTTTCTATTTCTAAGGTATCCTTCACCCAAAAATATCAGACCACTTTCTAAGCATTTTTATGTCTCATCCATACATTTAACATGGGATTGAAGAAATAAATTGCAGCACAAAAAAAGGCTCAATCCCTGCCTCAAAAGCAAATGCTGGAGGTAAAAAGGCCAGGTTCCCTGTACTTTAATCACGATGTTTTATGCAGATCAGTATCTTAGGGGTGAGTATTAAAAAATGAGTGTCATTATTTAAAAGCTTTCTTACTTTTGTATAGCATCCTGATTGTTTATGTAAATCTGATTTTTTTCCTTACTGTTTTTCTTTATTTGTCTCATGGCTGTGGACAAGCAGACTAGACTGGTGAGGTTGACTACTTAATTTATCACGGTAGATTTGTCTTCAAGGAATTACAGGATCTTAGGATAACAGATCTAAAGCTAAAAGCTTTCTAGTCCAATCCCCAAATTTGATGGGAACTGAGACTCAGTTGTAAGAGGTGGGATAAGACTATACCAAAGCTATTTTCTTGTAGTTCAAGTGAACCCAACAAACATTTATTAAGCTCCTAATATGTGCAAGTTAAGGCAAAACAATAAGCACTTATTATGATCCAGTTCTGTGCCAGGCACTGTACTAAGTGCTAGAGATACAAAAGGGAGGACAAGGAAGCCCAGTCCCTGTCTCCAAGGAGCTCACAGCTTAATGGGGGAGACAACATGCAAACAACTATATACAAACTAGATATATACAGGATAAACTGGAGAGAACCACAGAGGGAAGGCATTAGAATTAAGGAGGATCAGGAAAGGCTTCTTGTAGAAGATGGGATTTATTAGCTGAGATTTGAAGGAAGCCAGGAAAGCCAGGAAATAGAAATATGGAAGGAGATAATTCCAAGCAGGGAGGACATCCAGTGAACAATTATGCTAAGTGTTGAAGATAGAAGGATGAAAAACAACAATGTCTTTTTCCTTTACAATGTTTATAATTTAATAAGGAGCATTGTACATGCACACAAATTAGTTTAACACAAGGCAGGATGTTGTAACCCGTAGCCCACAGTGTGCTAAGAGGGGAAAGAAATAGATGAAGTGCTATAAGAAAAATTTAAAGATCATTTTTAGTTGAAAGGATCAAAGAAGGTAGTACATAATCCAGGCTTTGAAAGAAGGAAAGAAAAGAAATTTCTGTGACAAGTAAAAACATTTCCATGAGCCTTAAGTTTTTATACTTTTGAAAAATGTTTTTTTCCTCTCTCTCTCTCTCTCTCTCTCTCTCTCTCTCTCTCTCTCTCTCTCTCTCTCTCTCTCTCTCTCTCTCTCTCTCTCTCTCCTTTTTCCCCCTTTTTTAAAAGGCAATTGGAATTAACTGATTTGCCCAGGATCACACAGCTAGTTAGTGTCTGAGACTGGATTTGAACTGAGGTCCTTCTGGTTTCAAGGCCTGTGATATCCACTGGAACACTTAGCTGCCCCCAGTTTGTTTCTGAAAGGGCAATTCACATTGAATCTCAAGAGCTGACAGAACTTCAGAAGTAATATAGTCCAACCTATACCTGAACTATGAATCTCTCTAAAATATACCCAATAAGTACTCATCCAACCTTCACTTGGAGACAGCCAATGATGAACTTACTAGCTTCCCCGACCCACCCCCTACAAAACAAGTTATTCTATTTTTAGACAGTTCTAACTGTTGAAATTTATTTCCCTGTATTGAGGTAAAATTTTCAATCAATAGATTCTAGTTCTTCCCTCCAGGACCAAGCAAAACAAGGTTAATGCCTCTTCCAAATGACAGCCTCCAAATATTTTAAGACAGCAATGATGTTCCCCCTCTCCAAAACAATTTATCTTCTAAGTCAGCAATATATCTCAGTATCCTTCAATTCCTAGCATCGCACTCAGCATATAGTAGGTGTTTAATATTTGTTTAATAAATTGAATTGAATTCATTGTGCGTTATACATGGGTAGATAGTTTCTGATGCAATGCACTTATCTAATTAGGGGGAAGAAAAAGATCTTTTGAAGTAGATTTGTATGATGAAATGGAAAGGGCACTGGCCTGAAAGAAGGAACACTTGGGTTCTTGCCCTGGCTTTGCCACTCATTATTCATTTAACAATTCAATCAACCTTGCTGAGCCTCAGTTTCTTCATCTGTAAAATGAGGGGCTTGAGCTAGATAATTTCCAACTTCCCTTCTGGCTCTAACATTCGATGGATATCATTGACCTGACCAAGCCTTTCTTGTCATGTGCTTTCAACTTTAGCTGGATCTACTTATATTTATTCTTTTAGCACATAATTTTATACTCTAATATCCTACTCAAGAAGGCTTTGGGAGGAGTAATAATGGGAAAGAATTGGCTCCTGACACATCATCTTTTCAGTGTTAATTGCTAGACCATTACTTTAAATGTATTATGTCTCAATGCCCTTAGCTAAAGCAAAGGTGACTATTTATAAAAAGGGCAAGCAAAGAAACATAAAAATTTAATCACCAGATTTTACAATCAACAGTTATAACACATCTAAGTTCTTTGGTAAGGATGGTGAAGTGGCTACTAAAGGAATTGAAGATACTAACTGAGCCCTCAAGAAACTTACCTTTGAAAAGTTAATAATCTTGCTAGCAGGAGTAGGATAACATTTCCAGTTCTGGCTTTTGAGATTTTAGGGTTTCAAATGTTAGCCATGGGCCTAATGTTTATTATCAGGGAATCTGAACTTTTACAAAAAACAGTTCATAATCTACAACTCTGGCCTTCTCCATTATGGAATTTAGCAGTTGACCATTTCCTGTTATTAAGGGCAGATTTTCTCAGTTGAGAGCACTAAATTGTGGAACTCTTTACAAGAAGTTGTTCAACAGAAACTGGAAATTGATACACTCAAGAAAAGATGCAATGGCTTTAGCTTTTGAATGAGTAAACAAAAAAATGCAGAGTCCCATGGATTTGGATCTAGAACAAACTTGGTTTAAGAAAAAATAGTCTTTCTTCTGTTCATGTTTTGTTCTTTCACTAAATGTTGAGCTGTCATAGTACCCCAAAGGTTCCTGGAATGCCTTTCCCTAATCTCTGTTCATCAAAATTCCATTCATCCTTCAAGGCATACCAAAAATTTCATTTTTTCATGAAGCTTTTTCTTATTCTCTCCAACTAGACTTGATCTCTTCCTCTGAACCCCTATAGGACACTTATGGCTCTTATCACATATATAATTTCCTAAATTATAATTATTTGTGGACTTTTCTTATTTCTCCAACTAAATTATAATATTCTTGAGAACAAGGTCTGTGCCTTAGTCATTTTTGTGTTACCTCCTAACTGTCCCTGAGCTTATGGCATACTGTCCATAATAGGAGCTCAATAAATATTTGCTGAATCAAAGTGTTTTGATGAGTAATACCCATCACCTTATCTTGTCATTATGAGTCATCATCCTCTTCTTTTAAGCCCCAGGTGTTGACAGAAACAGGAATTTGCCTTTCTTCTTCTCTCTGATTCCATCTCGTCACCTATGGTCAGTTGATGATAACTAAGACCATAGGAAAACCAGTTTCTTGTATTCTCAACATCCTCAAAAACAGCTCACAAGGTTTGCCTAACCTCAGTTTCTCAACAGTGGAAATAAGAAGTCTAGAAGAATGAGAGTGGTAACCTCTTAGAAAACCCATTTTGATTCTCAACCTACCACTGATATTTGGGAAAGGCCCAGCTGCTACAGAGGGCGGAATGCTAAGGGAACAGTCATTGGCATTGGCATTGGCATTGGCATTGCTCAGAGGATGGTGGGGGAGGCAATCAAATGAGTAGCTTATTTTCTCTCCAATGAAAAATCACCTTATAACGTTAGTTTTATACACCAGAATAAGAAACAAATATATTGAACTAAAATGATGGATATATTTTTATAAATTTTATTGAAGTGCTGCTATACCCCATTATTATTTACTTTTAGAAAATTGTACATGCAGATCATGTCACTGGAGTGTTTTTAAGCTCTATGCTTTTGACACTATCAATCCATGTTTTATAGGAATCATAATTTTTATTTCTTATGTTTATTTGAACATATATGTGATTACATTTTACCTATTTTGGAATAGAATCTATGTCTTCTTAGTCCAGAATCCACTCAAGCACATTGCCTCCCTATTATTATACATAGGTATGTATATTTTTAAAATTAGAAATAAAAAAATTTCTACCACTTGACTTTTTACTAAATATACAAAGATGACATTGTCTTTCAAATCACATTCTAATGGATATTCATTCATTCAATATGCATTTATTAGTAGTAATAATAACTAGAACTTATGTAATGTTTTAAGGTGCTTTACATATACTATCACATTTGATTCTTAGAACCCTGCAAGATAGGTGATATTATTAGTCCCATTTTAGAGGTGAGGAAAGGGAGGCTGAGAAAAGTTAATTGACTTGCCCTGGGTCACTCCACTAGTAAATATCTAAGGCAAGATTTGGAGTCGGGTTTCCTGACTCCATTCTTATCAACTGTGCCCCCGAGCTACCAACAAATTTGAATAACTGGTACACATATAGTACCATACTGTGTACTTTGGAATATACAAGAGAAGTGGAAGTTATATATATATTTGAAAAATAAAATGATTCCAGGGTAATATAAAGCCAAGGTAGGGATTTGGGGGAAAGGTTTTTATATTCACATGATAAGGAAATTCAAAATAAGATCACCATGACCAGGCAAAGTCAAAGAAGTCTTCATGGAAGAAGCAAACCTTGAGATAAAATGGAAACTATGAATCAAACATTACAATGTGCCTTTGAAATTACTCAATCTGAGAATGTTTCCATATGGAATATATTATTTCTATACAGTATCATGAAACCTAACAGATCATCTAATGTATAATAGATTAATATGTCTCTTTTGTGACAGAAGTTCAATATGGAATCCACAAAGCCATACAACACTAATTTGACATTATTTTTCTTCTTGATCACTGTTGGTTCCATATGATTTCCTCCAAATAACTAGAACTTCAAAAAACACAGTAACATCAATCACATATGTCTCATTTTTATTCCCATGCTTCAAGACAAAAAGAGTATATCTTTAAGGTCATATTTAGAGTCCATAATGAAATCTATTATCTCTCAATCTATCAATCCATCCATCTGTTTCATTTAATGTGGCATTCAATAATGAGTTTTATAACAGAGGACATACATTTAAAGCTTATCTTAAGAAGACAATACCATATCCAATCAGTTATGAGTCCTATCCTTTTTTTTCCAGTATCTCTCATATTTACCTTCCTTTTCTGTTCCTGTCATTACTACGACAGTTCAGGTCCTCATAAACTTATTCTTAGCCTATCATAGTTGCCGCATCGTTGTTTTCCCCATCTACAATTTTTTTCCTGCCCACTTTGCCATCAATCCATCCAATACATCGAACTTGATTAATCGTCCTAAAACAGATTTCATTATGTTACTCCACGGCCATAATCTTTCGGTGACTCCCTATTGCCCATAGGATGAAGTGTTGATGTTTTAGCTTGGCATTCGAGGTTTCCATGAGCAAATCTCAGCCCACTTTTCCAGCATTATCTTCCATTACTCTCATACACAGACTGTCTCTTTTAGTCAACTTAATGTATTTATTGTCCCCCAGACACAATGTGTACTTTCTTGCTTTTGCTCACATCATTCCCTCTGCCTAGGACGTTCTGCTCACTTCACTAGCCCCATTCAAAGCCTCTACATCCTTCAAGCCCAGATGAACATTCAACTCCTCCTTGAAGTCCTTCCAGATCTCTCCAGCCAACAATGGACTCTCCAGCCAACAACGGACTCTGAACTCATGACATTTATTTTGTGTCACACTGATATGGCAATCCCTAGATTCCATTGATGCCCACCTCAGCTCCCACCTGTTACATGAAGCCTTTTCTGATCATCTCCCTCCTCAAATCATCTTATATTTTCCTCTCTGTTCATGAGTTGTATCCACCAGTTTAACATAAACTCCTTGAGCATCAGGGCTGTTTCATTTTTATCTTTGTATTCTTAGCACTAAACATAGTGCTTTATACATAACACATATTTAATAAACATTTGCTTAATCAACTTGATTATGCTCTGCCTATGGCATTTCTTGTATTGTTATGTTATATTATGTCTGTGTCAGCCTAGCTAAATATAGAGAGGCTTATCAATAGGCTGGCTACTAGCTGATGAATTTTTTGGTTAAGACAACCCATGAAACAAAGAAAAGTACAAAATGGCCTTATGTCCATATTATCCCTTCCAGGACAGTAGAAAAGTGGTCAGTGGGAAGAATCAGTTTTTAGATCCTCTATAAACATTAATCTAACTGTTGGTCCTCTAAATGGGAGAGCCTTATCCAGTTACCAACTTGTTGACCTACTACTGGAGGAAGTGAATCATCAATATTGACATTTGCACTATAAAGGAAAGCAGGAGATTTCAGGAAGTTACAACTGAATGGAAGAATGGCTCACAGGTTTTTCTTGGAGAGGCAAATGAAGGTATTGGTGAAGTTGGTTATGTTGTTTGTCCAAAGGCAACAAGAAGCATCATTTTATGGAGCCCTTGCTTACTTCACATTTCAGTCCTCATAATGAGCATGAGCAAAAAGACAAACATGAAGATAAATTTAGCTTATTTGCCCATAGGATGAAGAAAGTTCAATGTCAGAGTTCTGTCATATCAGCTAGAGACAGATCTCAGAAATTAAAAATGGACTCTGAAAGTGTTGTCAAAAGAAGCAGAATATATGGTAAATAAATCACTAGATCTGAAGTAAAAAGACCTGGGTTTAAATCCCAGCTCTCCTATGTACTACCCTTGTGACCTTGGACAAGTCTCTTCATTTCTCTGGGCCTCAGTTTCTTCACCTATAAAATGGGGGGGGGTTGAACTCGATCATTCAATTTTTAAAAATATTTCTTTTTTCTTTTTTTTTCTTTAGGCAATTGGGGTTAAGTGACTTGCCCAGGGTCACAAAGCTAGTAAGTGTCAAGTGTTTGGTCTGAGGTCAAATTTGAACTCAGGTCCTCCTGACTTCAGGGCCACTGCTCTTTCCACTGCGCCACCTAGCTGCCCCCTAAAAAGCTATTTATTAAGGGCCTACTATGTGCCAAAAAACTGTTCTAGGCACTGGGAATCAGAAACAAAACAAAACAAAAACCAGAACCTGCTCTCAAGGCGCTAACAATTCAATTAGGGGAAACAATATATATAAATACAAGTTAATATTTTTGATAGGGGAGGCACTGAGAAGTAGAGGGATCTGGACAGGTCCATGGAGAAGGTTGTGTCTAAGCTAATCTTTGAAAGAAATTCAGGATTCCATGAGGTAGAGGTGAGGACAGAATACAAAGGAATGGATACAGGAGACAGAAAAATGCTAAGGTCCCTTCCTGCTCAAAATATGTGATCCAATGACTTTTTGTTACAGAATATGAGGAGGGAGAGAAATTCTACAAAGAACTGGGCAATCAAGAAACTCCAAATAAAATTATCATGTATTTTTATACTCCATGATTTGAATGTAAAGATAGGCATAGAGGAGTATATTGAAAAATATACTAGAAAATATGGCTCAGCTTCAAGAAACAAAATAGGTTAAAAGCTTATAAACTGGACAAAACAATTTAGACCCATATATCATTAATTCTTTTTTCAAGAAGAGTTGGGAGGTGCTAGATATGGCAAACTCTGAATAACCTCACAAAATATGAAGTTGGTAGTATCTTGAAAGACAGGAAATGATTGGTTATTGATGTGGGATTCATTTCTGATATAGCTGCTTATGTAGCTATCAAATTGTGCAAAGAACAAAATCAGCACCACATTAGAAAGAAGAAAAAAATATAATCAAAACAGCTCCAAATTAGCCAATTTAAACCAGGTATTGAGAATGGAAGATGGATAAAGGAACAGCATCAACCCAAAGAAGTCACCACAATGAGGAGGCCAAAAGATACTGGAAACTGGATCAGCCAGCCAACACTTCATCTCTTTGCCAAGCAGTGAGGTGTAACAACCCAAGGCAATACCAATTTAAAATATAAAATCAATTGTGAAATCTTACACATGAGGATAGAAGACAATTATGAGATTAGAAACAGTATCACTTCATAAAATACCTAGAAGTGGTCAAAAGAAAAGGAAATTTAGAGAAAGCTTGATGTGAGACCCAGTTAAGGCAGATCATCCAAACAGCTTTTGAAGATGAAAGTCTAAGGAGAGTTGAAAACAGATAAGAAATGGAAACAATCTGTAAAGTTGTCTACAATGAACTGTTTTTTCCATCAGTGATGGTGAAACTGTTACACTTGAACTCTAACATCACAGTCCCCACTGTGCTACATAAAAAAGTAGAAATAGCACTAAAAGGAATTGGAAGAGAAGTTGGGCCGAGACAAGTATACACAAAGAAGATACATTATGGAGACCTCACACATTGAAAGGTACTGAAGGATCAGTTATTAAAATATCTGAAAGAAGAGAAAAGACTAAATGGTTAGGAAAAGTCACAGGTATTATGACTACCAAAAAAAAAAGCAATTGTGAGGATAGCCCTATGCCATGCCTACTTCCTTATCTCTACAAAATGGTTATAAAAATAATTTATATACATTGAGGAGCTTTTGTTTTTCAGACATTTCAGTTATGTCTAATTCTTCATGACCCCATTTGGGGTTTTCTTTGCAAAGATATTGCACTGATTTGCCATTTCCTTCTCCAGCTCGTTTTACAGATGAGGAAACTGAGGCAAACAGGGTTAAGTGACTTGCCCAGGGTCAAACAGCTAGTAAGTGTCTGAGGCCAGATTTGAACTCAGGAAAAGGAGTTTTCCTGACTACAGGTCCATCTTTGATGAAAATATGAGAAGGAAACGAGCAAGTTTTCACTAATAATGTTCTATAGTAGATCATATTATTCAATTGACTGGACTATGTAAAGAATGTAAGACTATAATTTGTCAGTAAAGCAAAATGCTACCTCACAGATTCTCCTCCAAGTTGTCTCCTATACATATGTAAAGATCATACCAGATTCATTTATAGACAAAACAAAGATAACTTTTTTGAGGATTCCCTGAATGGCCATACCAAGCAAGGAATAAAATAAAGAAACATATGTCTACCATAAGTGTTTGCCACAGGCATGGACAACTTAAAACTCAGATTCCAAATGGAAGAAGAATTTGGTAAAAATGGTATAGAACGTTGTACAGATTGCATCAAGAATTTCGTGGAGCCTCTGAAATGAGATCTATAAATACTCAGAAGCATTTGTCCTAAAAATCTTGGTTCTTCTTACCAAGTAGGTTAAGAATACTATTACCCAGACTACTATATGTAGTTGGAAGGATAGCCCATAGTACTGGTCTTTCAGTATATAGGTACTGGATATTTACTGTATATGGACGATGATCTAGTCCCAGAATTTAACAGGAAGATGAGAATAAGCTGGACTGCATTTGGGAAATTGTGCAGTGTTTTCAACAATGCCAAACTTCTCCTTGAAACAAAACCCCATCCTTTTAACATAATTATCCTTACAGAGCTATTATATGTCTGGAAATCATGGAATAGCTCAGTCTCTGAGTAATCAAAATGGTGGATCACTCAATGGAAAGAAATGCAGTGGGCATAAACAAGATACAGCATTTTGGCAACAAAGAAACCATAAACAAGACATATAACTAGAAAAAGAGGTGATTCAATCAATAAATTAATAAGTATTTATTAAGTGCTTGGTACATACCAGACACTGTGCTAAGCTATAGAAGTTATAGAAGATCAGCCTGCATACAGCACTAACTATATACTTTAAAGAGATGTAGAAGAAGTTCCCTAACCTGTTGAGTGAGGGAGTTACAGGAATACATGGACAAGGGTTGCTAAGGAGAGGAAGATATGGATGGGTTTTGTTCTATACCACTGGAGGGAATACTCACATCAATGAGATCATTGAAAGTATCCATGAAAAATAAGAAGCATTGTTATTTAACTCTGTACAGCACCATGCTAGGCACTTATTAATTTTTTACTGATTTAACTCCAGGCATATTCCATCATATTAATATACTTTCCATTTAAATTTCAGAATCAAGGTAGCTTAATTAGGAGTTTATCTGAAGCAATGCAAAATGTGAAAAAAACAACCTAGTTTTGGCTCTGCTGAGACCAATTTGTATTAGTCACTTCACCTTCTGTGGGACTCAGTTTCAGTCCATTTAAGTCTACCATTTCACTCCTTTCTATGCCTCAGTTTCTTTTATGCACTACTTGTAAAATGGCAATGACATTATTTACATTGTAAGAATGTCACTGGTATGAACTGGGTAATATAAAATGGCCATTGATGTCTTCTGTGAAGAACAGGTGCGTTATCATTTCATTTTTTCTTTTCAATCTTGTTAAATGGAAATGAAACTAAAACTCCATTTTAAATAAAGCCTAATGTGTTGGTGATTGCTAACTTGAATGAAGTGAAATATTTTCACAATCATCAGCTAAAAACCACAGGGTCTATATAGCTTAGCCAATAGGTGTACAAGCAAGAAATACAGTATTAACTTATAACATCTGCTATTGTTATTCATCTTTTCTGTGTACTGCAATCACAAATTGCAGCTAGCCAAGGGATTCTGTTCTGTTCCAATGTACATTTGAAAGGACAATACCCTAGTGTGAGTACAGTTCTGAACAGAGGCTAAAATTGAACAGAGTCCATATAAGGGGTTGGCTCCAATATGAGGGTACATCTCAAGGCTATTCCAAGCCCTCATTGTCATCCCAGGGTCCTGGACCAGGATTGACCATTATCTTCTTTTGTTCATATCAAATTACTTTCCCACCACCACCAGATCAGCGTCATTCACTCTTTCATTCAGCATTCAATAAATATTAAGTACCTACTATGTGCATTGCACTAGAGAAGATGCAAAGATAAATAAACCCCCCAAACCAGAGCTTTCATACTTCCCCACTAGCTAGCAGGAGTGGTGGTGGGGAACCCTCTGGTGTACCCAAGAGTAGGGA